TGCATTTCCGCAGAAATAGAACAGAAAACAGAAATTTTTTTGTGACATACTATTCAAAAAGGCTTCAAAATGCTAAATAAACAAATATTTCTTACATAACTGATTTCAAGTAAACGAAAGTTGAGCCAGACGTGTGTCTGGAAATAACCAAACCCCTAAAAATATTTGTTACTTATTTAGGATTTACCCTGTATAACTACGTAACTTGTACATGTACGTAAGATACAATTAAATAGTATTTATTATAAAGTCAAACTGAAATTAATAAGATATTAGAAAATCAATGTTGCAATAATTGTATTATTTTTGTGAATTTGTAAACATATAAATAATAAATGTGATGGCTTTCCTTTCTGTAATAATATACTTAAAATATTAGAACCCAGAGACAAAGTTTAAAGTTTATTATATACATACAACTGTCTTTCCGTGTTTACTAATGCTTGCATTCTATTATAGTTAAGTTCGGAATTAGATTAGCGGTAAAGTAATGAAGTCGATATTTTTCCTACTTCGACCAAGTTTTCCTTAAGCAGTGACAAGTTTAAAACAAACTAACGTTCAAGAATTTATATTGACATTAATTCGAGTAGAGTTAATATTTATTTTAAGTTGCCGGGGCTGTCTTCTCTCACTCTACCTCCCTCTCTATGTTGGTGGCTTTTCAAATAATTACTTTCAGTTAATGCAGGAAGTTGAGTGAGGCATAACTGATTTGTATGCTAATGCCATATTTTTATAACGATATTATGCCGTTGGGTTTTCAATTCTGTTTAGCTAATGTTTTTTTTGATATGTCGAGATATTTTAAAAATACGTGTAGTTGATTTTTACTAATTAAAATTGACAGATATATTTCGAAAAAATACTGTTTTAATTTTGTGACTTTTTTGATGGAAATGTTTGATATATATTGATGAAAATTGAAATATTTTTTAACCTCTAGTTGGAAAAAAGGTTTTATAACGTATACTAAATTCTTTAATAATAGTTTCACTCAACCAGTATGTGAATTATTATATTTATTTATAGAATGTTCCCGGATTGTCTTTACAAGAGGAAAAACTTTTTTATTATTGACATTTTAAGAAAAATGCATTCTTCATAAAAACTTTTGCTTGTTGATTTTTCCTTCGATTATGAGCTGTATTTCTTCATATTCTGAGTGCCGCATTATATGTCCAAGGTAGGAAGTCTTTTTGATTTTAATTGTATCTGTTGGGTGTGCACGAGTTTTCGTTCTGTTTAAAACTTCACAATTTGTTGTTCTGGAGGTCCAACTTTTCATCAGCATCTGACAATACATTCACATTTCAAACGCATTAAGGCGTTTGATGTCTTCTTGTTTTAGCGTCCATGTTTCGCATCCATATTGAAGTAAGGGCCATATATAACATTTTAATGTTCTTAGCCTCGTTGGTATAGCTATTCTCGAATGACATAAGAACTTCCGCATATTGAGGAATCCAGCCCTAGCTATTTCAATCCTTCCTCTGATTTCCTTAGAGTGGTCTAGCTGGCTGTTTAATTCCCTGCCCAAGTAAATATATCTCTGCGTGGTTTCGAGATAGACGCCGTTTACTATTATGTCGGTATTTTCATTGTCTTGTGGATGTCTGTTTAAAATCATAGTTTTTGTCTTGACGGTGTGAATCTTTAGACTCAACCTGATACCTTCTTCTGTCAGTTTGTCCATTAGGGTTTGCAGCTGGTCTTCGGATTCTGCTAATACCACGGTGTCGTCTGCGTATCTTATATTATTTATAATTTTTTCATTTATTTTAGCCTCTTCTGGACAATTTTGAAGAGATTTTCGGATTATATATTCGGCATAAACGTTAAACAATAATGGTGACAATATGCATCCCTGTCTAAATTTCTATACCAACAACATAACCTTCAGATTGAATTCATTTATTTCTCATTTGGGTTTGATTAGTGTCATTATTATGGAAAACTAATTTAAATGTAATTAAAAATATTATTTTATTTACTTTTTGGTTTGTTTTGATGCTAGAGATAGCTTTAATCTGATAAATATATATTCGAATTTCTTAAATTGATTGCCAACCAAATGAGTAAAACCAGAAATGCCCACTATGTCATATATTGTTTTTGTAGTATCTAGATTAACTCTCTGCACTCTTAATAACTAAAGCTCACATATATTATTTATTATAAACTTGAATTAAAGTTTAAATTTAAGTGTCTTTTTATACATAATTCGCAGGTACATGATTCACAACTATTTTTGGAGTGTAACTCATGTATATTTATCAAATTTGCTTTTTTAAATAAAATCTAGCAAGATTAATCACTCTTTTAGCTTACTCTTCTCGAAATAATATTATCATAGGTACAAACAGTTTAAAATCAATATACCCTTTTTATCTAAAAAACACTAGGTTATAGATACATAGAGGAAAAATTGGCACTATATTTAGAAACAAAAATCAATAGGGGGGTCAATAAACGACACCCTTAAAATTTACATTGAAATTTCTATACCGGGTGGTGCATCGGGGTTGGAAGCATAGGAGGTCCTATGTAAATTTTAATCAGTTCAAATATTGGCTCCCCTGTTGATTTTACAGGGAAGTTGTAGACTTATTAAAGGTCTGCGTGTGCTGAATGCACATGTCAAATTTGAACAATTGTGGACAAGCCGTTTTTAACTAATTTAAGAAAAACTGCATTTATTTTTAAATTAAATTTGCTAACTAGGCAAATGTTAACATATTTTAAGTTGTCAACCTATAATTGATTGCAATTTGTTGTGCCTACGTTTAGTGTGTCCGTTATGAATTTTTGTAATTTAATGTTTGTTCAAAATAGATAAAAGCCTAATGTTTAGGATATTCAGATGCAAAAAACGTAAAATGGAGAAATTTTTGGTCAAATTTAAAGTGTTATATTTTTGTTATTTTTAGCTCTATTTTCATGATTTTTTTAGCAAGATGTATATAATTATATCAACTTTAATTCGTAGCTGAGAAATTTCTCGATGATTACAATAGTAATATTTAAAATACCTGTTCACCTGCATATTTTTGAGAAAAACTCCGTTTTCTGATTGTCTATCAGCGAAACGCTCTCTAGCGGACATTTTTCGAACTTGAAAATAATTTACAGCGATTTCTCTTGGTCGATTTAATTATTAGATTTTTTTTCCCAAAGTTATACGATAAGTAGTTTCTGAGATTCAGCCGGCGTCCATTCTTAATTGGCCACCCGGTACATTACTTTAGTTTTTGCTAAATTCATTTTGAGACCCACTTTATTGCTGGCTGTATTTAGGTCATTATTTGTGCTTGTAGTTCTTCATGACTATTGGCAATTAGGACTATGTCATCAGCGAATTTAAGATGGTTAAGATAATCTGTATTTATTTTTAATCCTTTGTTGGTCCAGTCCAATATGATTACTTACAATATATTTATTTTACATATTTTTATTTTTATTTAAATTGTTTAAAAACTTATTTCTGCCGTTTGAAAAAAAAATAGCATGTTCTATTTGGAGCAACTAAATGAGTTTTGTGTCTCGCCTGTAAGGTCGCTCCTAGTAAAACAATAAATATATAAGGGAAATTAAAATAACTTTGGTTGCACATCATAATACGACCACTAGCAAACTCCATAAGATGACGCATGGTGTCATTGATGACGTGCAACGAAAGTTGTCAGAAAAACTCAGCTTTTTATAAACTTTAGTATTTGGCATATTATACAGGGTTAATCGAGGGGTTGTTTTTTACCTTAACTTTAAAACACGCTGTGCAATAATTTCGTGTGTAAATTTTCCTAAAATATAATTTTATGGTCAGAACCATTTTGTTTTTTGGATCATGTAGGGCTTTGGTTAATTTTTAATAGCGAAATGAACTTTTGCCACCAACAATTTGCAATTTTGTCAATTATCATTCCTTTTTGAAGTTATTTTTCAACATGACAAGGCGGCTTTGGTGATTATTGTGAACTATATACTACTATGAACTGCCCATCATGTTCGATGTTTGGGAAATGCTTGGCAGGAGGGTTAGAGGTCACGAAGCGGTACCAGCTTCATTAAATGAACTTTGGTCCTTAAAGAAGACTGGGAAAAGATAACGCAATATGATATATGCAATCTCAATGACAGTATGAACGGACCTATACAGGCAGTTATAGCAGCCAAGGGAACTACCCTAATACAAAGTATTAGGGTAGTTTTTACACTTCTTTTTTCTGTTTGTATGATGATGTTTTCTTTAATATCGTTAGTTCTGTTATTGTTATTAATGTTTATTAAAAGTCAGGCTCTATCGTTTGTCTTTAACGTTTTTTTTTTAAATTCAGTATAGAGTATCCAATGCAGCGTATTATGACGTTATGACAGTAGTCACCAAAACCATCTCGTCATTTAAAAAAATTACATCAAAACGTAATGATAATTGAAAAAATTGCAAACTGATCGTGATCAGTTCATTTGGCTCTTAAAAATTAACCAATGATTCAAAGAACAAAATGCTCAGAAGTCATAGTTCTGACCATAAAATTATATTTTAGGAAAACTTACACACGAAGTTATTGCACAGGGTGTTTTAAAGTTAGGATAAAAAAACAACCCCTCGATTAACCCTGTATAGTATGTCTAATGCTAAAGTTTATAAAAAACTTAGTTTACGAACTAAAGTTGATATAACCATATGTAGTTTGCTAGAAAATTCATAAAAATAGGGCTAAAATAACAAAAATATAACACTTTAAATTTTTGGCCAAAAATGT